TTGCATGGCCCTGGTGGAACACAAACTGGGCATCACTGAGCAGGTTACAGTTAAGCAGGTGCTGCTTCATAGTACCGTTAATAACACCTTCTGTCCTGACGGTAGCCAGGGAGATGGTTGGCCCACTCAAGGGCAGAGGGGGAATTTGTGTGTGGAGCCTGAGGAAATGGGCGAGGTATTAAATGAGTACTTTGCATCAGTATCCATCATAGAGACGGACTTGGTGGATGATGAGTCTGGGAAAGGGTTTGTAGATAGTTTGGGTCATGTTGAGATCAAAAGCGGGGTAGTATTTGGGGTCTTGAAAAACATTAAGGTGGACAAGTCCCCAGGGCCTGATGGAATATATCCCAGAATACACAGAGGCAAGGGAGGAAAGTGCTGGGGCCTTGAAAGAAATCTTTGTGTCCTCATTGGCTACAGAGGAGGTCCCAGAGGATTGGAGAATAGCCAATATTGTTCCTTTGTTTAAGAAGGGTGGCAAGGATAATCCAGCTAATTACAGGCCGGTGAGCCTTACGTCAGTGGCAGGGAAATTATTGGAGAGGAAATAGGTGGACGTATTAGCGACAGGCAACGTAGTTTTGTGAAGGGGAGGTCATGCCTCACTAACTTGATTAAGTTTTTTGAGGAAGTGCAGGCTAGGTGGATTGGTCATGCTAAATTGCCCATAGTGTTCAGGGATTTGTACATTAGGTGGGTTATAGAGGGATGGGTTTGGGTGGGTGCTCTGAGGGTTGGTGCGGACTTGTTGGGCCGAAGGGCCGGTTTCCACACTGTAGGGATTCTATGATTCTATGTATCAAACTTAAAGAAGACACGGACAGGTGGCCGGTCTGAAAATTGGACTGAATATAAATAAAAAGCAAAGAATAATTTAAAAAAAGGGAAAAGTTAGAGTATAACACAAAGTCAGCAAAAATATTTTTAAAAAGTAAAAGTTTCTATAAATATTTAAAGAGAAGAGTTAACAAAATGAGCGTAGATCCTACAAGAAGTGAGACAGGAGAAATAATAATAATAGAATCCCTAGAGTGTAGAAGCAGGCCATTTGGTCCAATAAGTCAACACCGACCCTCCGAAGAGCATTCCTTCCAGACCCAACCCCCTAGCTTTTACCTGTAACTTCACATTTTCCATAGCCAATGCATCTAAGGACATATCCCTGAACACTAGGGGCAATTTTGCATGGCCAATCCACCTAGCCTGCACATCTTTGGACTGCAGGAGGAAACTGGAGTACCCGGAGGAAACCCACGCAGACACTGGGAGAATGTGCAAACTCCACACAGACAGTCGCCCGAGGGTGGAATTGAACCCCAATCCCTGGTGCTGTGAGGCAGCAGTGCTAACCACTGAGGCACCGTGACGTCCTTATGGGCAAAAGCAGACAAATTGAACAGGTATTTTGCATCAGTATTCACTAAAAAATTTAGAGGATACAAATAACATCCCAGAGTCAGTGATAAATCAGGAAATAGGAAAGGAGGGAGGAACTCAAGAAAATCAGAGACAACCAGAAAAGTGGTACTGAGGAAACTGACTTGTCATAGAGAAGTATGCCTTCATGCCTAACAAATCTGGTTGAATTTTTTGTGGCTGTGACAAGGTATATAGATGAGGGTAATGCAGTTGATATGTTTTATATGGATTTCAGTAAAGCCTTTGATAAGGTCCCACACAGGAGGTTGATAAAGAACATGCAATCCAAGGTACCTTGGCAAATGGGTTCAAAATTGGCTTAGTGGTAGCAGACAGAGGGTGGTGGTGGAAGGCTGCTTGTATGACTGGAGATTGGATGTGAACGTTACTGGCTAGGCCAGCATTTATTGCCCATTCCTAATTGCCCAGCTGAAAGTTGAGAGTCAACCATATTGCCGTGGATCTGGTGTCACACATAGGCCAGGCGAGGTGGCGATGGCAGTTTCCTTCAATAAAGGATATGAGTCAACTAGATGTGTTTTTCCAACAATGGTCATCATTAGTCTCCAAATTCCAGATTTTGTAACAAGTTGAAATCATTCAAACCTGGGTCTCTGCATTAACAGTCTACCAATAATACTGCTAGGCCATTGTCTCTCTTATCACAGAGATCAGATCTGGGTCTCTTGCTGTTTGTGATATTCATAAATGTAGTAGATGAGAATGGGGGGTTGGGATGATAAGTACATTTGCATATGACAGAAGATTGGCCAGGTGATTGACAATGAGGAGGAAATTCTTAAGTTACAGAAGGTTATAAACGGGTCAGATGGAATTCAACCTTGAAAAGTGCGAGGTGATGCACTTTGGAAGAAGTAACAAGACAAGGGAGTCCTCAATGAATGGCAGGGTATTCTGATGCTCTGAGGAATGGTGGCATGTTGGGGTGTTTGTCCACAGATCCCTGAAGGTGGAAGGATGGGTTAATAGAGTAGTTAATAAGGCATAGGGAATACTTATCTTTATCAGTCATAGGTTATTCCACCAGGGAGGTTATGCTAGAGCTGGACAAAATTTAACATCACAACCTTTAGAAAGTATTTGGATGAACATTTGAAATGTCATAACATTTAAGGCAATGGGCCTAGTGCTGGAAAGTGGAAATGTAATTTAGTGCATTTTGGTAGTACAGACCTGATGCACCAAAGGGCCTTTTCTATTCCGTATGATTCTATAATTCTAAAATTGTTGGAGCTGTGTGGTCTTTCTGATAATTCATCCCAAAGTGTTAAAAGCAGTGGCTTGTAAGATTGTTGATGCTTTGGATATAATTTTCCAAACACTTGATTAGGGGATGGTCCATTGATTAGAAGATAGCAAACACAACTCCTTTATTCAAAAGGGGACGAGGCAGCAAGCAGGAAACTACAGACCAATTAGCTTAGCATCTTTCTTGTTGACCAATCCACTGGACTTGTTTCAGGTGGCAACATGTGCCATGGATAAAAGACAACCAATGGATGTACTGTCCTTAGATGAGATGCCACATCCAAGGTTATTGTGGAAAATGAAAACTGTGGGAGCAGCATTTTGATAGGAAAAGAAGAGTGGGTGCCTGATAGAAGCAGACAGGTGGTGTGAATGGGCCTATTTCAGCCTGGGCCTGGCAAGCTGTAACAAGTGATGTGCCATGGGGATCGGTGCTGGGACCTCAGCTTTTCACTAATTATACGAATTGTATGAAGGGATTGGCATGGACAAGATGGGCAGAATGGCTCTCTTCTGTGCTGTATCATCTCTATAGTTCTACGGATGCAAGGTATGATTGCCAAACTTGCTGATGACACAAAGATAGATGGGCAAGTAAGCTGTGAAGAGGACAGAAAGGAGGTTATAAAATAATTTTGATTGGTTCAGTGAGTGGAAAAGATGTGGCAAAATGTGAAACTGTCCATGTTGGAGGAAGAATGAAAAAAGCAGCATTTTATCAAAAAGGTAAGCCATTGAAGAGATGTGAGATGCAGAGGTATTTGGATGCTCTCATGCACAAATTGCAAAAGGTTAGTATGCCGGTACAGTACATAATTAGGAAAGCAAATGGAATGTTACCATTTATCATGAGGGGAAGTGAATATAAAAACAGAGAGGTCATGCTTCAATTATACAGGGCACAGATGAGAACAATTTAAACTACTGTGTACAATATCTGCCACCTCATTTAAGGAAGCAGTTTAGTGAAGGCTTTTCAGACTGAGGGATCTTGCCAGGATAGCTGTGAAGAGGATGTTTCCTCTTATGGGAGAAGCAAGAACTAGGGTCACTGTTTAAACATCAAGGGCTGCCCATTTAAAACACAGATTAGGTGACTTTTTTTGTCTCAGAGGATCATGAGTCTTTGGAACACTCTTCCTGAAAAGGTGGTGGAAAGAGAGTCCTCGGATATTTTGGAGATGGTAGCAGGCAGATTCTTGTTGAGCAAGAAGTGAAAGGCCATCAGATCAAGCAGGAATGTGGATTCGAGGTTATAGTCAGATCAGCCACGATCTGATTGAATGGGCCCAAGGGGCTGAATTGTTTACTCCTGCTCCTGATTCTTATGTTTCTATTTCCATCAACGCTGCCTGACCTGTTGTATACTTTCAGCATTTTCTGATTTTATTTCAGATTTTCAGCAACAGGAGTATTTAGCGTTTGTTTTAACCTTCCCTTCCTCAACTCATTCAGCGCAGAACTTGGAGAGACCATCTATGCGTGGAACCACAGGGGATGGTCAAGATACTAAATGAATATGTCATGTCAGCATTTCCTGTGAAGGACATGGAGGCTACAGAATTTAGGGAAATAAATAGTGTTCTTTAAAAGAGTCCCTATTACAGAAGAGCTGCCAAAGGAGTTGGAGGAGATGGGTTCAATTACAACATTTAAAAGTCATCTGGATGGGTACATGAATAGGAAGGGTTTAGAGGAACATGTTTCAAATGCTAGCAAATGGGACTGGATCGGTTTAGGATATCTGGTTGGCATGGACGAGTTGGACCAAAGGGTCTGTTTCTGTGCTGTATACTTGTATGACTCTAATATCCTTCCAAGAATCAAGTTACACAATTACTCCTTAAAGTTGCTCTGTAAAAGCTCAATTTCTCTCAAGTGAATGTCAGACTTACTTCAACTTCAGTCTCTAAAGCGGACTCTCATCATCCTCTCATTTTGTGCAAACCCTCTATACTCTGTTTGACCCAGAGCTTATGCCGAAATGCTGGTACTAATCAGCAACATACAGCGCTCAGCACCAGCTCAAAATCTGCTGTTCACTCTCCAGCACTACCCAAACCCTCCTTACAAAGAAGATAAATCTCCCTCGAGAAGAGATGAAAAGCAAGATTGAAGGAGAGTGAGAGGAACGTATGAGATACAGCAAGAGACAGCGAGAGCAGGATTGAAGGTGTGAGAGTGAAAGCAAGCATTAGAGAACGAGTGTGCATATATGGAAGTGGCAGCACACGAGAGGAGTAGAAAAAGGGCATGAGGCGACAGGAATAGACAAGAGTGCCTGAGACCAAGGCAATGCATCTACTCACCGGTGATGCCGCGAGCCAACCATATTTGTCTTCCAATTTATTCATGTCTGCATCGAAAGCGTTCAGCTGCTGGTAACGAAGGTGGTGATTATCCAGAAGATTAAACTGCCGTCTGGCATAATGGTAACTTTCATTGTTTCCTATTCGGGGGAAGTCCAGCCATTCAGGGTGCCCAAATTCATTGCCTGTAACAAGTTAAAGGGCTGGTGAATATTTTTAAAATTGAAATAGAATAACACAACAATCTTTTCTTCCTAAGTTATCTTCAAACCCAAAATCAACAGTGGAGATTCTGTGCTGTGCCATGGTTCAGTGCATAACATGCTTGCCTTTGAGACACAGGTCTGTGGGCTCAAGTCCCAATCCTGAGATTTGAGCATAAGATTTTGACTGACCCTCTCAGTGCAGTATTGTGCTGCACAGCCAACGATGTCAGGTTTTGGATCAGACATCAAACCAAGGTTGAGTCTTCCCTCCTAGTAATGTGGAGGTGTCAATGTTGGACTGGGGTATACTTTTGCCCTCCTAGTGGTCGTAACAGATCCCATGGCCATTATTTCAATGAACAGCAGGATAGTTGTGCAGTGCCCTGACCAATGTTTATCCCTCAATTAACACAACTGAAATTGGTGACCACAGCTTGTGAGATCTCTGTATGCATTTCCTACTTTCCAACAGTGACTTCACAAGGTACTTTACTGCCTGTAAAGTGCTTTGGGATATCTTGGGATTGTGAAAGATGCTACATTGTTATGAGCACAATGGGAAAAAAGTGCATTGTCTTTTTGTACCCCACTATTTCAACAGCCACAACACAAAATTTAGTTATATAAAAATAAAACAAAGAATTGCAGATGCTATAAATCTGAAACAAGTACGGAAATTGCTGGAGAAACTCAGCAGGTCTGGCAGCATCTGTGGACAGAAAGCAGAGTTAATGTTTTAAATCGAGTGATCCTTATTCAGTTCCTTCAGCAATTTCTGTTTTTGTATCAATTCAGTTATTTTGCCTGGTTCCCGATATGACTAACCATATGCTTGCTTTATAAATAGATTTAAAATAAATCAATCCATCAACCACATTGCTTTCATAAACACAAAATTATTGATTTACTATAAAACCAAACTTATTCCACAAAGATGTAGAATTGATGAACATGCAGTGTGTGATATGAAAATTTTTTTTATCCTTTCTGGATATGCTAAAACATTCACAAACACACATACACACATCAGGTAAAGGGAAATAAAACTGATTTCTCTTTGCAGGGATTAAAACAAACACTTTTGGGTCATTAATTCTTGGTGCTTAAAGGCAAAAATGTTCAGGCTTAAGATGGCTATTGTCTTGACATTGTGACACACAAAGATGGAGACATGAACACATGCAGTTGTCACTGGGAGCCTTTGTAGGCATCGTCATTCAGGAAATATTGACAAACTCTTTCAGAAGCTCCTGAAGCAAGAGCAACTGCAGGACTCTTGGTATCACAATGGACCCACAAGGGTTCTTTTCCAGAAATAGGAAAGCAGAGATAGGAGGCTTCTTTCTTTCAGCAAGTTTCTCCTGAACTACTTTGAACAATATCCAAAGCAGTAAAATGAAACCTGACAATCATAAACCCAGGCAGGTGGTCGCCAGTAAACATGGTGTTGTCACAAGTCAATGTGACAACTAAGAAATGTCCTGTTTAAAAAAAAGTCACTTTTCTTTCATTGACCTCTTCAAAAAAAAGTCCACTTGTCAATAGTTCTTCACACTAGGTCCACAGAAACGTATGAGAAAAGAAGTCCTTATAACAACAGAAATACAAATTTTGATTCCCTCGTCTCCTTTCCTTCAACTACTGGCTGAGAGTGAACAGATCTCATTGAAATGGAACTTAGAAATGGCTCAGACTTCCAGCGTGTTCAAGAGCCTGCCACTAGGGTGAGAAAGAGAGCTGCCAACTAAACGATAAAACTAATTTTATTTGTGCAAGGTACCTTGCACGTCAATTAGTTGGCAAAAAGATTAAGAATTGTATATGGGCAGTATTAGCAGACAAACATTTTGTTTATTTGCGTGACTTTTCCAGACCGCACCTCTCATTTTACAGGTAAGGTTACCTCATCTATTTTAAATGGCTGAATACCAGCAATGAAACAGTACGGTGGGAAATGTCATCCATGGCTGAAAAAGAAATCACTTGCTAAAATGATCAATACTAGACTCCAAGGCTTAGATGACATTTTCACATTATTTCAGAGCCCAACACATAAGTGCAAAAGATAATGTTGAAGCATTCACAGCAATGCTTTAACGTGAGGGGGCAAAGATTTAAAAAGGAACTGAGGTCTAATTTTCTCGTGCAGACAGTTGTGCATGTATGGAAGGAGCTGCCAGAGGAAGTGGTGGAGGTAGGTACAATTACAACATTTCGAAGGCATCTAGCTGAGTATACGAATATGAAGGGTTTAGAGAGATATGGGCCAAATGCTGGCAAATGGGCTAGATTTTCCAGGCTAGATTGGGATGGGTGGATGATCCATTTTGGCCTCCTTTGGTAGTCCCCAGTATTACAGATAAGTTTTCAGTCAATTTGATTCACTCCATGTGACATTAAGAAACGGTTGATACTGCAAAGGCTATGAGCCCTGACAACATTCTGGCAATAGTACTGAAGACTTATGCTCCAGAACTTGCCACTCCCTTAGCCAAGCCCTTTCAGTACAGTTCCAACACTGATATCTACCCAACAGTGTGGAAAATTGTCCAGATCTGTACACAAAAAGCAGGACAAATCCAACCTGGCCAATTATTGCCCCATCAGTCTACTCTCAGTCATCAGTACAGTCACAGAGTCATACAGTAATACAGCATGTAAACAGGCCCTTTGGCCCAAACTGGTCCACGCTGACCATGGTGCCCACTCAGCTAGTTTCAATTGCACACATTTGGTCCATATCCCTCTAAACTCTTCCCATCCATGTCCTACACAAATGTCTTTTAAATGTTGCTACTGTATTTGCCTCAACCACTTTCTCTAGCAGTCCATTCCACATACGCACCACTCTCTGCACGAAGAAGTTGCCCCTCTGGTCCTTCTTAAATCTTTCCCCTCTCACCTTAAACCTGTGCCCTCTAGTTTTCGATTCCCCATTCCTGGGAAAAAGACGATATGCATCCATCCTATCTATTCCCCTCATGATTTTATACACCTCAATAAGAACAAAGAACAAAGAAAATAGAAAATTACAGCACAGGAACAGGCCCTTCAGCCCTCCAAGCCTGCACCGATCCAGATCCTCTATCTAAACCTGTCACCTACTTTCCAAGGATCTGTATTCCTCTGCTCCCTGCCCATTCATGTATCTGTCTAGATTCATCTTAAATGATGCTATCATGCCCGCCTCTACCACCTGCAGTGGCAACACGTTCCAGGCACCCACTACCCTCTGCATAAAGAAGTTTCCACGCATATCTCCCTTAAACTTTTCCCCTCTCACCTTGAAATCGTGACCCCTAGTAATTGAGTCCCCCACTCTGGGAAAAAGCTTCTTGCTATCCACCCTGTGTTGAGGTTGGTTGGCTCACCGAGCTGGTTTGTTCTTCCGCAGACGTTTCGTTACTGTGCTTGGTAACATCCTCAGTGCAGCCTCTGATGAAGCGTCGGTGTGTTTTCCTGCCTGGTTTTTAAACTCTGGGGTCCGTTGCGATGGATTGCCTCACTTCCGGGTTTCCTCCGTAGTGGAATGTATATGGGGTCGAGTTCAATGTGTTTATTAATAGCATGCTTCGTGGAGTGCCATGCTTCCAGGAATTCTCGTGCTTGTCTCTGCCTAGCCTGTCCCAGGATCTTGGTGTTGTCCCAGTCGAAGTCGTGGTTCTCCTTGTCCATGTGAATTGAGATGAGTGAGTATTGGTCGTGTCTTTTTGTAGTCAGTTGGTGTTCATGTAGTCTTGTTGTTAGTTTCCTTCCTGTTTGTCCGATGTAGTGTTTCTCGCAGTCTCTGCAGGGGACCTTGTAGATGAAATTGGTCCTGTCCATGGCGGGGAGTGGGTCTTTAGAAGTTCTACGACCCCTGGGCATCAGAGTGGCACACAAGCCCACATCAACCCTACAACAAGTGCTCACCCAAACTAAAGACCCACTGCTCACTAAGTCTGTGGCCTCTCCTCCTTGCTGCATTGATGAGTGGAAACATTTATTGGATAAATATAGAAATCAAAGATGCAGGTGTTAAATACTAAGTGAACATATGGCTCTCAAGTTTTGGCCAGTTTCAGCAACAAGTTTGAATATCTGGTCACAACCTGAATGAAACTCTGGGAAAAAAACCGGTGTCTGGGAGTATCAGTTATTTCTTTACTCTATCTTTATGATTTAGGAGATTTTATTGGTGCTGAATTGTAACTTTATTCCAACTAGTCCAGCCCAACTGCTGGGTGGTGGTCCATACCATATCATCCCTACCAACCCCCGACAGATGGAGCACTTCACTTAGCAAATAAAATAGCTTTAAGGGGCAGCTTGACAGAATGAGACAAAGAGAAAGTGTTTTGTAATTATGTGCTATTTATATTGCATTCTAGTGCTCTTAAGCTACCTCCTGAATGCTGAACTCAAAAGCTAAGTGGCTGTAAACAAGAGTATCAACAACTGGGAGTAGAAAATTAGTGACCTGCATTTTTGTTTGTTTCAGATGGAGCCTATTTTGCCTGCAAGTTCATGGCCAGCTAGATGAAACAAACAAATAAATGAGCAATTTTACTGAAAGCCATTCCTTTATGTTATCCCTTGCTATTAAACAAAAACAATCTGGTTATCATCTTACTGCTGCTTACAGGACCTTGTTATACACAAATTCAAATTTCAAAGGAAATTAACTTAAAATATTAATTCTGTTTCTCTCTCCACAGCTGCTGCTGGATCTGCTCAGTATTTCCCCTCGTTACAGTTTATATTTCACTTTTTACAAAAAAAGTTTTTGGCAATGCTTTTCTGTTTGTTGGACTGTATGCTGCATTTGCCTGAATAGCAGCGATCACACTTTGATTGTAAGGCACCTGAAAATTTTGAGGATTTTAAAATGCTACAAAATGCAAGGTCAGTATTTCTGTTTTTTGTAGAAAGGTAACAGAAAAAGTGGAGATGGAGACGGCTGTGGGTGTAATGGAGATGAAAAATATAATGTGATGAAA